TATATATATATATATATATATATACAGTATACACACACACATTATATATATATATATATATATACGTATATACGTATATGTGTGTGTGTAAATAGATATCTATATATTTATAGATCGATCGATCATATTAATTTTTATGAAACAGTCAAAATTATTGGATGAGCCACTTCTGAAGCCGTTTTCTTGTATATGTGCATGACGGCACATCAATTGAATTCTATCTTGTCTGAAGTTACAATGTAAACGCCACATAAATGGCCTACAATTAAGTCACTGAACTATTTTACTGCTAAGAAAAAGGTTTATGTAATTAATAAATAAAAAAAACATATATATATATATTTTTTATTTTCAGGGCTTCATGATTTTTCACAATTTCTTTTGTATTATAATAATAATAATAATAAAAAGACTCATTTGCTGTGATATTTCAGTCATTTATTTATTTTCTCAGTGGTATCTTTATGCTCCCACAGTGTGTTTGGAGGCCTGATGTGTGCTCATGAGAACAGAGATCATCAGTCCGCAGCCAGTCTCAGGCTCTTACAGCTGCGGACATCATTAACGTCCCCTCTGAGCAGAAATAAGGTTCTGTACAGGACAGTGAGAGCAAACAACCGCAACAGTTCACTGCCACAAACATAAACTACTCACACACTTGTAAGCTTACACTTACACTGAACTTCTAAATGCATATTTTCCATTCAGCGTCTGAACTCAGAAATGCCACTCAAATCAAATCAAGTTGCTGAAAGTGTGTGTAACTTGACAGCAGTAGGAACTATTTTTAAACAATAATGTGGCCACATTAGACTCTGGAGAGAGCTGGTCTGGCTCAGTTTTAGTTCTCAGGGTAACTGTAAATCAAGCAGGTCTCTCTCTTACTCAACGGGTTACAAATCTGTGTGCTGGGAATCGGCCTCTGATTGGTCAGCATCAGTCTTAGGGGGCGGGCTGGTGGATTGGCCCTCAAAGGGACTGTCTTTCGCTGGAGCCAAGCGGAACTCCTCTGGCACTGGGTCTTCGGGATTCTCTTTTTTATAAAAGCCCAGCTTTGCCAAGAGTTTGTTGATCTCAGTGCGAGTCATTTCAGATAATGGGATTCTCTGGAAGAGAAACACACAGCTTCATTTATAAGTGTCAGATAAGAGAAGAGAAATGCATACGATGTAAAGACAGTTACATTACATGAGTACTTAGGAAATGTTTTTAAAAAAAAAGTCATTTATGAGGAGGAACCAAGCGGCAACCTCCCGCTCTCTCTCGTGAAGCCAACAAGGAAGTGACTTAAACTGTAATTCATCAACTGGCCGCTAGAGGCTGGCTGCAAAAGGGAGTCAATCCCATAGACTCCCCATGTTAAAATGCCCAACTTTACAGCAGAAAAAAACATGTTTACAGCCTGGTTCAAAAAATGATTTTGGTCTATATAGCTAATTTTGTTCTTGATGACAACTGTGAGGGGGTGAATTTTTTTATAACTCATCCATTTAAATTATATTAAGCCTTAAAGTTCTGCATAATTAAGGGCGTGGCCACCTGAGTGACAGGTGGATTGCCGCTGCTGTCACCACCGTCGCGCTACGTGGGCGTGGCTTCAGCAACCTGCTCCCGCCTCTTTGCCCATTTTCGATTAACCGGGAGTGACGCGCTGCCAAGATGGCGACGGCCGCCTCCGCCCACTTTTGAGCTTCAAAAACGCTCTTCGGAAATCTACGGGTGACGTCACGGACACTACGTCCATGTTTTTATACAGTCTATGGGAGGAACCTACTAAAGCTACACTGTGTAACTTTTGTCCCATCTAGTGGTCAAAAATAAAACTGCACGCATCTAGTGGTTTTTATTTGTGCTTGGACTCTTCGCGGATGAATTTGGCTCGAGGCACCGGTGATACAGGACACCTCAGGACATATTAAATAAACAACGGGTTCGTTTTGTTTTGTTTTGTTTTAATAACCGGTGATTACCTGGAGGTTTGTCGTTTTGAATGATCCATGGTCAGTTTATCTCACTCGTTGTACAATTTCCCGCGAAATCCGTCCCGACAGTTCTAAAATAGAAATCATTGTTATTAAAGGTTAGATGCCATATTAAATGTAACGCGGATGAAAATGAGCCTGTAATTTTCACAAATCTATTTATGGAGTTGTCTACTTTTTTTTTTCTTTTTCTCCAAAAAGCTTAACAATCGGTGGGCCTCTGTTATTTAAACAGTACAATCCATTTAATTTACTGTAGGCCTACGTCTATTCCTCACAGCCTTTTCATTCCTGTCAAAAATGAAATACGGCATGACTAGGTTTATCAAAGTGTGTTTGGGTAAAGATATGGTTTGGAAGATGTTTTTTTTTTTTCTTTTTTGCATTCTCTCAATTATTATTTTTTTAAAAATAAAAATAAGTTACATTGTGTAGCTTTAATAAACTAC